AGAGGATAACACGTGGGAGTTCGTAACCGTCATCGCAGGCAAGAAGTGAAAAGTCAAGCTAATGCGATAAGCACCAGATTTGACCTCATCCACTATACCACAGTCGAATCTCGCACCACGGCCGAAAAGGAAAAGAATCCTTCAAATCGACACCATACCTCATCGGCGCGCCAAATGTCGAAGCCAAACCTGACTTTCGACATGACCAACATGCAAGGTCGAATGTAATAACTCGGTAATTCTGAAGCCGAGATTATATACAGTCACCCCGGCATTCCGAGCTACGAAATACCAGGCTGGGGGGCAACTGTTATGGAATATTATTCATATCTTAACTACTCACCTAAGAATCTATCAAAGGATAAAGTCTCAATTATCCTAACAATATTAAACAGCAAAGATACTCAGGATAGAAGCCTTATCTCAACAGAATGGAGGCTGAATCCTACTACAACTGGGAGTTCGACACAAACTCTAGAGGTAACCCTTATAAATAAGATGCTAAAGACCCAGGTATACACTTTTAACATATTTACTATTACTGCCAACATTGTGCACACACCCATGTCTTGGCTATAAGCCTATTACTTGTGCGCAGTGATTAGGACATTGACTATAAGCCAAATACATACCAGATTCTACGGTATCTCTAAGCGCATACCATACGGTATAGCAATACGGTCTTTTCATAACCTAACAGTGATAAATATATCATGCCCCCAAGAATAATACTAATTCCGAAACAGTGCTTTGTGGCAACTTAGTTTTAAAATGTCTAATTAATATAATTATTTTGGATAAAAAGAAATATTAATTAAAGAATCATCGTAAAAGATAGCAACATTCCCAAGGTGACAACTCCCAACAGAGACATGGATTCCTTTTTGGCTGCAGCATCGATTTGAAAGAACATCGTATTCCACAATTTCAAACTCAAAACAAAGTGGGATTTTGTCCAAATCCCGCAAATCGTGGCTCTTAATCTGTCTCTAAACCACTAGCAATAGCATACCTATATTCCTAAACCTAATGCACTATGTAATGTACCTGCATCTACACATTGTAATCAGTGATTTTATTATTCGGTATTAACATCATATATACCGGATTGTTCCAATAAGGTTCTTCTTCCATTAAATTAAAATAACCAACATTCTCTTTAGAATATACACATATTTCAAACACAACAATACCGAAGAAGGATTAATTATTAGCCTTAATAATTTATTATTATTATTATTATAATATAATAAAAAAATTAAAGTTTAAAGAGAGATAATCGCCAATTTTTGCCTCTCTCTTGATAGGAGGACAATTTATGTCAACGGATTATATTCGTATTGAGTTAAATTTTAACATGAACACAATACGATATGATATAAATAATATGTGCATCTCAAAGTGTTCCACTTATACGTTACATAACATGATTTAAATAATCTAAAAAAAATTAATGCAAGTTAGTGTCCTGTTTGCAAGTTGATATATAATATGAAACAAATTTTTTCTTATCAGGTTTTGTTAATATGAATATGATACAAATTTAAAAATTAATCAATCCAAATATAAATTTCCCGTGTTGAGTTATCGAGTTGTATTGATAATTGTCACCTAAATCTAAATATTTAGACGTGTTGATGTCAATATGTGACATCATTTTCTGTAAAGCCTGAAAATGGGAGAATGCGAAGGACTATTTCAACCGTTAAAATTGTACATTAATTTGTTTTGAAATCAAATTTCTGTATTCAACAAAAATCAAAGAGAAAGAAATATTTTTTTCATTGCATAACTCAAATTAATAAAAGAAAAGAAAACCATATACCCATATCGCACATGATATATCTAATCTATTTATTTTAAAAGCTTCTTATAGGGATCATCATTTTCACGGGTTTGTTTAGTGGGTAGAGGGATTCATGTCCGTTTAGGGGGGTCCATGCATTTTCTTTTTTTCCACATGGGGACAATGTGGTTGAAGTAACATGTTATCATCACCTTGTATGACTACCATTATGCCCTTCATTATATACTAGTTTATCCTATTAATTAATGAACATAATCTATAAAGTATGGCTGACAACGAAAAGGGAAGGTTTAAGCGATTTTCTAGTCACTTTCTAACAAAAACCCAAACTATTATGAGGGAAACCAGCTCTCTCTTTTTTTTGTTTCGATCAATGGGGGTCAATAACAACCATTTCGAATTGGGTATTTACATTCTCTTTATAAATATTCATAATTTTTAATAAAATCTTACCTATTTGAAAATTTTCCCGTGATCTTCTTTTTGAATTGAGTCAGACAATTAACCCATATAACTAATAACAGTTTATCTACAATACGAGATTAATTTAAAAAAACATGTTATGTGATTTATTCTAGATTTACACTCATACAACAAGTTGCTAATTAACAAACCAAATCAAGTTTCAATAACGACCACCGTTTTCTATATATGTTAAAAGGGTCTTTTGACCAAATATCATTAACACAAATGGTAAGGAGCTTGTGTCTCTTAATCAGAGGTCTCGAGTATGTGTAGGAGCAATTGCATCTGCGGAAGCATATGAGACCATTGTGATTTGGATGTATAGGATCATCATAGTTTTATTATTACCTCTTGTAGCGCAGATTCGAGATGATGCTCCACGAACTAGAGTCCTTTTCGTCACAGCACGAACTCACGAACTGATCTCCTCAGCCTCGCAGTATGAACAACCTCCTTGAAATTGGACCGTGACAGATCTTCCAGACTATGTCTCAAGGGAAAATGGAAAGTGTGTGAGCACTCTCTCACTTTAAGGAGATGACCTTACCTCAACCTCTGCAACCACCTAGTGAAGACTTGAAAGACTGATGATTATAAGTGTAGAATATATATGGGTTCCAATAAACCCTAGCCCCAAGCAGAGTAAACTTTAAGTTTTTTAGGCTCTTCTTACACGCTAGACCATATTGGGCTTTAGTGAAAGAGCAAAACCCAACAGTATGAGCCCTGAATTTGAAAAAAATGATCTTAGAGCGTGCCCCCACTTGGGTCTGATAATACTCGAACCGAATTAATCCAAAAGATAAACCGATTGAGGGAATTAAAAAAAAAAAAGGTGTCGTTGAATTTTAGGCGTTTTGGATAATAAACTAGATGGTACACTACATGCAATTCATGGCCACCCCACCAAAAGGGGGGAACAATTAGCTAAGCCTACCCTAGGATACAATAAAATTTTGGCTACCGGAAACGTGTCATTTTTGTTTTCTAGATTGTGGGCCAAATAATACACATGCATATCACTTGAAAGAACTTAAAGGCAAAAAGTGAAAGCGAATCGGAAAGATAGTATGTGGCTGCATCATTTTCTTTCTTCCATACTCTTTCAGTTGTATGCTAGTTGGTATCCATGGGTTACAAGCACAATAGTCTCCAAGAAATCGCTCATTAATTTTGATTCTTGTATGACATGAAGTTGTGGGCTAAATGATTAGTTGCTTCTAATTAAGTAGAAAATAATATCCCATCTTCTCTAATTAAATACAAATTATACAACGAATTGGGTCATGGCGAAACATTATCAACTTTAGTAATTTCCTTTCACCGTATCAATTATTAAACATGTTGAAGTAACATAAGATATCCAAACTCACAATCAGAAAAATAAGTCATTCTTTGTGTTTATCTTATAAAAGAATAAAAGAAAGAAAGAAAAGTATACGCGAATACGTTACTAGCTTCACATATCAACAAGGGAGCATCAAACCTCAATGCTCACGTCAACTTACGAAAAACTCACTGTATTTATATAAATTAATTAAAAGAACAATTTAGTGATTGAGTGTTAAATAAATGCAATGTAACGATTGGAAGTAAGTAGCATCGTGATACAATTCGGTTAATTAGTGTGAAAAAGAATCATAGATTGCAAACAAAGCCAGTTCTATTTTTATAATCAGAGTATAACCATCAAAGAATAATCCATCTCATAATCTTATTCATTGGTCAATTTAAAATATATAACCAGAGAAAGAAACTATACAAGAAAACAAAGTGATTGGACATCCCCGTAATAATTTATAGGGCTTGATGTTTTTTTTATGTATTAGAAGATAATTTTATCTTTTAAACATAAAAATATGTGAGACTCACGTAAGGCCATGTGAAGAGAAGAGACAAAAAAAAAAACATGAATTCTATGAGTGTATTTTTTATACAACTAGAAGAGGTACTCCTTACCAAAAAAAGGAAGAAATATAGAAATATAGAAAGAAATAAGGGTTTATTGTGTGTCATTTAAAAGGACACAAGTTGTGTGCTTTTAGTGACTTACACAGAATATGACTGGTCATACTCTGTGTAATTCTGAAAAATTATTATTTTTTCACTTTACACGTCAGCAATGTGACTGAGGAGAGAAAAAAAAGCAACTTTTCATATTTACACAAAGTATGACCGGTCATACTTTGTGTAAATTATCTAAAAAGACACAACTTGTGTCCTTTTAAATGATATTTCTTTTTCCCAAGAAATAATCATAAAAGTAAGGGTAGTGTAATTATGTTACTTTTTCTGTATTTAATAAAAGATGTACCGAGTGGTCGGTACATCTGTAGTACTGAAAATATTTTCAGAACTTATATTTTTATATGTGTAGTAGATAATTTTATCTCTTACCGTATAAGAAACATTAATCTCTGATTTATATAGGAGGGAAGAAGACAAAAAAAGAAGAAGGAAACATTGAAAAAAACAACAACAACACATTAGTACATATATTCAACATTTATCCTTTTTGTCCATTTATTATTTGCATTCTTCATTGAAAAGTTTAAAAAGGAAAAAGAAGTAAGAAGGTAAAAAAAAAGGATACTTTCCCACGTAAAGTCTTATCCTGAGAGACAGAAAGAAAATATTTTAAAGAAAAAAAAAAAAAAAGTGTCAAATTCTAAAGTATCACCACATTTATTTCTTCCCATACATCTTCTAGACTCTGACCACATAATAGAGGGTACCCCCACCCCCTCGTGTGCTCTTTCATCCTCCATTAATGTCCTTTCATTCACTAACTTCAAATTCTCTCTCTCTCTAAAGAGTAAAACCACCCCCTCTCTCTCTATATAACAATATATATACACATAAACACTTGTTTTTGGTGGATTTATCTTCCTCTAAACATTCAAATGGCTTCTTTTTCAACACTGTTTTTCTGTGTCATCATCATCTTCATCGTCTTTCTCTTCTTCCTCTTTCGAAAATCCCGTTACCGGCGGCTCCGGCTACCGCCGGGGAGCCTCGGCTTGCCCTTCATCGGAGAGACCCTGCAGCTCATATCCGCTTACAAGAGTGACAACCCTGAGCCTTTCATAGACCAGAGAGTGAACCGGTACGGTCCAATCTTCACCACCCACGTTTTTGGCGAGCCGACAGTTTTCTCTGCCGAACCGGAGACGAACCGGTTCATTCTGCTGAACGAAGGGAAGCTCTTTGATTGTAGCTACCCCGGTTCGATATCGAACCTGCTTGGTAAGCACTCTCTGTTGCTGATGAAGGGTTCACTTCATAAGAGAATGCATTCACTCACCATGAGCTTCGCCAACTCATCCATCATCAAGGATCATCTCTTGGTTGACATAGACCGGCTCATCCGGCTCAACTTGGATTCCTGGACCGACCGGGTTTTTCTCATGGAGGAGGCCAAGAAGGTTAGGGACCCTTAATTAATATCCTTCATTCCATTCAATTAACTTTTCTTAAAATGAAATACATAAAATAAAATTTAATCAAACACATTATATTTTGATATCGGTGTCAAACTAAAAAGTTTCACACCAAATTTTAACAATTAATTTCAGTCAATCTAATAATTATAATTTATTAAAATTTAATAATTAATCAACAAGTGTGAGCAGTGAACTTTTGCACTGATGTCAAAATATCCCGCCCAATTAATTAACTTTCCCAAATCAAATTAATTTCCATGTAGCTAGCATGTATATATATATATATATTGAGTCAACTCGGCCTTGGATCGCTCGAGTTACCATCATCATTTCATATGGGGTGTGTGTGGGAGGTGGTGGACCAGGACCAGCTTTCTGCACATCATGATTTTATTATCTGGATCTTGTTTGTTAGTTTATTTTTATATTTATTGAGCTCAAAGTTAATTAGCAACTTTTGTCCAAGTGCCTAACTAGCACTTTGAAAGTTTAAAAGCTTCTCTCTCTGTTTGAGTATTTTTTTTTTTATTTTTTTTTTATTTTATTCAATTTTGGGTTGATTAATTAGTGAAAGTTTTATTTAATTAATTAATGAGTTAGGGAATATGACTATGGTTGTGATGTACTTGATGGAAATGGGGATGGGGACTCAGATTCTACAATGTGTCCAATTCCCTTGCTCACAACAAGTCCTTACATCACGTTAACTTAACCGAAAAGGTTTTTCAGCTTCAAAGATAATTATTATTCTGTATATATAAAACATTAGGTCATCATCATATAGTGCTATAGCATGCACATATATGAATATCTTTGTATATATGATATGACATGTTGCTTTTTTCATTTCCTTCGCTAATAATACTACTATTTGTTTATTCCCTTAATTGATAAAGATGTTTATGTAATGATAGTGATGATATAGATATTTTTGTTGTGACAACATTTTTGGTTCTGTTGGTGTTAATTACTTGCAGATAACATTTGAGTTGACAGTGAAGCAGTTGATGAGCTTTGATCCTGATGAATGGACTGAGTCTCTAAGGAAAGAGTACGTTCTTGTGATTGAAGGATTCTTCACTCTCCCCTTTCCTCTCTTCTCCACCACTTACCGCAGAGCCATCAAGGTGTGCATGCACCTTATGAATTTCTCCTTTTTTTTAAATTTCTTTTAAGAGAAAATTATTCTTATGCTATTAGAGTAGCATTAATTTGTTAGGATCCTGATTGTAACTATCACGGTTTGTTACCTTGTATATTAAAATAGATTAGCTTGATTTATGCTTTCTGTTCCTTAGTTTTAGCTGATTTCCTGATGTAAATAGATTAGCTTGATTTATGCTTTCTGTTCCTTAAGTTTAGCTGATTTCCTGATGTAAATAGATTAGCTTGATTTATGCTTTCTGTTCCTTAAGTTTAGCTGATTTCCTGATGTAACCAATTGTAAATCTTGGTCTATATAATAGACCCAATTTGATATATCATCAAGCTGCGAATGACAGCAACTTCTGTTATGGTATCAAGAGCTTGACGATCAACAAGCCTTCATTTTTTTTTTTTTTTCATCATGACTTCCGCACCTAAAACCTTCAAGGTTTCTGATTCTAAGTCACCCTTTTACCTGCACCCATCCGACAATCCTGGTGCTGTTCTCACCACGGTCATCCTCCGTGGACAATCCAATTATGAAAATTGGGCTGCTCATACTTCTCTGCCTTCGGTTCCTTCTGAGCCGTCATCAGCATCCATCTCCATGGCAGATTTTACACCAGAAGTTCTACAACATCTCATGTCCTTGGCTGTCTCTTCTGCCCCTCCAGTTGATAAACTTACGGGTAAAATTTTACACCCATCTTGGATCATCGACAGTGGTGCATCCCAACACATGACGGGCACACTCTCCTATCTATCCAATGTGCATTCTATTTCTCCTTGTTCTGTGGGACTGCCGAATGGAGTTCATGATATTGCTACGCAATGTGGCAGCATTAATTTGGGCTCTTCTCTTCATCTCTCCAATGTTCTTTATGTCCCTTCGTTGGCTTGTAATTTGATTTCTGTATCTCAGCTTCTGCGCCAGTCTTGCTTGGCATTGTTTGTTAATTCTGTTTGTTTGATACAGGACCTAAAGCAGAAGAGGACGATTGGAACGGGTGTTGAACGAGAAGGGGTGTATATATTGTGTGCATCATCAGCTTCTGCTCATGTTGCCAGTACGTCAGATTCTGCAGCACTATGGCATCGTCGTCTAGGACATCCATCTTCCCGTTATTTATCTTTGTTACCTTTTATTTCCAATGCAAACAATTTGGCTCCTTGTGACGTTTGTTGTAAAGCCAAACAACCACGAAGTCCTTTTCCTATTAATAATAAACGTTGTTTACATCCTTTTGATTTACTTCACTGTGATATATGGGGGCCATATCATATGGCATCTACAACTGGTGCCCGCTATTTTTTAACTGTAGTCGATGATTTTAGTAGACATGTTTGGATTTTTTTGATGCGCAATAAAACTGAAACTTCCACATGTTTACTTCGGTTTCTCCACTTGGTTCGCACCCAATATGATGCATCTGTTAAGCGAATTCAGAGTGATAATGGGACTGAATTTTTGTCATCTGTAGTCCAAGAGGCTCTCTCATCCTACGGTATTCATCATCAATTATCATGCACTTACACCCCACAGCAAAATGGACGCGTTGAACGTCGTCATCGTCACATCCTCAACGTGGCTCGTGCTTTGCGTTTTGATGGTCACTTACCTATATCTCTTTGGGGAGAATGCATCTTGACCGCTGCTCACCTCATCAACAGGACACCGACTCCACTCCTTGGTGGTCAGTGTCCCTATGAAGTTTTGCATGGCACTCCACCAAAGTATGATCACTTACGGGTCTTTGGGAGTTTATGTTACACTACTGTTTTACCCAAACCACATGACAAGTTCGCTCCTCGCTCCCGTAAGTGTGTGTTTGTTGGCTACCCTTTCAACAAAAAAGGATGGAAGGTCATGGATATCTCCACTCATGAAATATTTGTTTCTCGTGATGTTTTATTTCATGAAACTATTTTTCCATTGGCTGCAACTTCATCTGCACCTTCTGTCCATGTACCGTCACCACAAGCTGTCTTCACTGATTATGATGTGGCACCTGTTACTGCTATTGATACTCCCACAGCGGAGCTTGATGACAGGGGGAGTTCGTCCTCCCCAGTTCCGGGTTCTATTACTTCATCCACGGATGTCCCTGGTTCACCGGTTCCGTTGACAGAACCCAACACTGCATCTGTGGCAGATATTCGTGAACAGCGTGCCAGACGTCCCCCATCTCATTTAAAGGATTATGTATGCAACACAATGACTACACCCTTTCCTCGTCTCTCCACTTCTCCAATCGACTCAGGTATTCAATATTCCATTGATCATTATGTTTCTAATGCATTATTTTCTTCGCACCATCAGATTTTTCTTGCCGCCGTGGATAGTAACCTGGAACCCAAATCATTTAAAGAGGCTATGCAATATCCTCATTGGCAGAAAGCCATGCAAGCCGAAATTGATGCATTGGAAGCCAATCATACTTGGCAAATTCAACCTCTCCCTTCTGGTAAGAAAGCTATTCCATGTAAGTGGGTGTACCGCATCAAGTACAATTCTGATGGAACCATTGAACGCTATAAAGCGCGTCTGGTTATTGCTGGGAACAATCAGATCGAAGGAGAAGATTACACTGAGACTTTTGCACCGGTGGCTAAAATGACAAGTGTGCGTACATTTTTATCTGTAGCTGTAGCTCGAAAATGGAGCATTTTTCAGCTGGATGTTCAAAATGCCTTTCTCCATGGCGATTTGGATGAAGAAGTCTTTATGCGTTTTCCTCCCGGTTTCTCCCAAACCAAGTCTGGTCACGCCTGTAAGCTTCAACGTTCACTTTATGGTCTCAAGCAATCCCCACGAAATTGGTTTGCTAAGCTTCGTAGTTCTCTCCTCAGTTTCGGCTTTGTTCAGTCTCGTGCTGATTATACGTTGTTCACTTACTCGACTGGTTCCCATTATGTTGCTATACTTGTCTATGTAGATGATATTTTGTTGGCAGGTAGTGATCCTTCTCTCTGTGACCGTGTCAAAGCTCATTTACAAACCTGGTTTAAAATCAAAGATCTTGGTCCCCTCAAGTATTTTCTTGGCATTGAATTTGCTCGAAGCAAGACCGGTTTGTTTCTTACTCAACGCAAATTTGCTTTGGATATTCTTAAGGAATGTGGACTTCAAAGTTGTAAACCGGTTGCTTATCCTATGGATCCCAATCACAAGCTTGCTCTTGCTGAAGGACCTCCGTTTGATGATCCTAAACGTTATAGACGTATTGTTGGCCGTCTTGTATATCTCACGATTACACGACCAGAACTTAGTTATGCAGTTCACACACTTTCTCAGTTTTTGCAGCATCCTATGCAGATACATTACGATGCGGCTATTCGTGTTCTTCGGTACATTAAGTCCAATCCTGGCCAAGGACTCCTTCTTCGATCTGACAGTGATCTTCTTCTTCGTGCCTATTGTGATTCGGATTGGGCTAGTTGTCCCTTGACTCGAAAATCAGTCACTGGTTATTTTGTTACTCTTGGACATTCTCCTATTTCTTGGAAAACCAAGAAGCAAAACACAATATCCCGCTCCTCTGCTGAAGCTGAATACCGTGCCATGGCAGCTGCGACTTCTGAGCTTATTTGGTTAAAGTCTTTTCTCAGCTCTCTTGATATTCCTCATGCAGCCCCTATGCAACTGTTTTGTGACAGTCAGTCTGCTATTCATATTGCTTCTAATCCAGTGTTCCATGAGCGTACCAAGCATATCGAGTTAGATTGCCATTTTGTTCGGGACTATCTTCTCAGCAAGACTATTTCTACTCAACATATCCCCACTAGTTCTCAACCCGCAGATATTATGACCAAAGCACTTGGATCCAAACAATTCGATTTTTTGACTTCCAAGTTGGGCATCTCCTCCCTCCATGCTCCACCTTGAGGGGGAGTATTAGAGTAGCATTAATTTGTTAGGATCCTGATTGTAACTATCACGGTTTGTTACCTTGTATATTAAAATAGATTAGCTTGATTTATGCTTTCTGTTCCTTAGTTTTAGCTGATTTCCTGATGTAAATAGATTAGCTTGATTTATGCTTTCTGTTCCTTAAGTTTAGCTGATTTCCTGATGTAAATAGATTAGCTTGATTTATGCTTTCTGTTCCTTAAGTTTAGCTGATTTCCTGATGTAACCAATTGTAAATCTTGGTCTATATAATAGACCCAATTTGATATATCATCAAGCTGCGAATGACAGCAACTTCTGTTATATGCTATATTAGCATGAGCTAAGTTTTCTTTCCTTACACACCTTTCGATAAATGTGTCATATTTTATTTATTTATTTATTTTCAGTGGTGGAACTCACAAGTCTCTTTTTATGATATGAAATAATTTATCTCCTTTAACATGAGATTAATAAAACCATTCTTTTAATGTAGTAATTATATAATAATATGGGGGTGAAATGCATGTAAGTGAATATTGAATTGAAAATTGTAGGCAAGAAGGAAGGTGGCTGAGGCACTAACGTTGATAGTAAGGCAGAGGAGAAAAGAAAGTGAAAACAAAGAGAAAAAGAAAGACATGCTTGGGGCACTTTTGGCCTCCGGCGACCACTTCTCCGACGAAGAAATTGTGGATTTTATGTTGGCATTGCTCGTCGCCGGCTATGAAACCACCTCTACCATAATGACTCTTGCCGTCAAGTTCCTCACCGAGACTCCTCTAGCCTTAGCACAGCTCAAGGTACATATATAACTCTTGGCACAAAACATTTTATTTTATGAGTTTTATAATTCTCATTCAACACGAGAATTAAAATCTTCCTACACACCATTCAATTTTCGTGCTAATGTGAGTCTTATACATAATTTTTTCTAACATATGGATCTCACATGTTTTTTTTTCTCTATAACATAAGATTTCAATTCTCATGTAACTTGAGAATTATAAAACTTGGGAAAAGTGTTTGTCATTTTAAATGACATAACACTCTGTCCTTTTAAGAGAGAGACAGACACAGAAAAAAAAATATTTAAATTTTAAATTAAAAAAAAACCATTCACTTTCTCTCTCCCATGATTTCCATTTTTATGTGTCTATCTCTCTCCTAAAATGACATAACTTATGTTATTTAAAATGACAAACACTAAACCCTTATTTTATATATACTTTTTTTTTTTATCTTTTGACTTCGATATACGAATAAAAACTCTTAAACCACGTTTTAATCAATGATGATTTTTTATTTACTTATGATGAAATGATTTAATTGGGGTATAGTGGACCGAATGGTTGTGGCTGCCACAAACCCCACCACTCTGTCGATGTCCATGGCCACCTCCACGTTACACCGTGTGGTGTTGCTTCCTTTGAACCTCATTTTCGTTATCTGATCCTCTTTACCTCAGGGTCTCCACCCTAACCCAGGATTGGCTTCTTTTTTTATTTTATTTGTTATTTTATATGCAACTGATATAATGTATGAGTCCTCCTTCAAAACATTTAAGTAAAATTTTATGAGTTACTAAGAAAAAATACATTAACAAATATAATCCAAGAATGGAAAAGTATGAAGTATCATGCGATTCTTTTTCTTGTCATGGTCTAAGAAAATGGGGACTAAATTATTGTCTTTTCTATTCATTATATAATTTTTTTTATATCAAAACATTGTTTTAATTTTAAGTCTAGATTTCATATATTAGGGAAAATAAATAAGTGCCTATTTTTTTTTTTCATGCCTACTTTGCTTATACATGCATAACACTATTAGATGAGAATCTTGAAAAAAGAGAAAAAGAGTAACAGTTAATTGAAATTCTGATCTAACAATATTAGAAAATAGCACTACTTGAAAAACAAGAAAGGGTACAATATCCTATCCGGTGAAACATGATAGAAAAGCAGAGAAGAAAAAGTCATGTGAGAGACATTGGTGGAACGTAGGGGCAAAATTATTACATCCAAAGCGCACGCTTCGTGTTGTTCTTTTGACCTTATGGTCTGTCCGTGTGGTTGAAAGACGAAAACACCCTTGTCACAATGCGTCATTTGCAGAAAGTAATTTGTTTAGTGCAGAACTTGTTCAGTCTTATGGCATGGGAAATATAGGACCAACTTCAATTATATGTTAAAATATCTGATTGTGATGTTTGGCAGGAAGAGCATGACCAAATCAGAGGAAGGAGTAACCCAGAAGCAGCACTGGAATGGACAGATTACAAGTCAATGGCTTTTACTCAATGCGTATGTAACTCAGTCCTCAATGTGTAAAAAACACTACGGATACTAAATGCAACAAGAAGTTCTATTAATTTATCAATGTCTATTACTAATCTTGTACTTTTTTTCTTTTTTCTTTTTTGTGCGATACAGGTTGTGAACGAGACCTTAAGGGTGGCAAACATAATCAGTGGAATATTTAGAAGAGCAATGACAGACATCAACATAAAAGGTAGATTAATGTTTGTTACGTTATAGTAAATAATTTTATCTCTTATACATATATAAAAGTATATATAAAAGTGTATGGACCCTATTTGGGATAATGTGAAGAGAAGACACAACAAAAAAAACATAAACTTCACACACTTTTGTGTGTGTATGTGATAAAAAAGAAACACTAATCCCAAAGGTAAATCACCTCAAAAACAAAGTAAATGAACTATAGCCAATTATATATAAGAAAATGTATTTCTTATGTTGTTGCAAATTTTTTTTTTTATAATTATATATTTTCGGAACTATATAGTTATAATCGGAAAACTATTTTTTTTTGTCTCTCTACATCAACGGAGAATAGGTACATATGAAAAAAGGACCCTTATATATAAGAGACAGAGCGCATTTCAATTTATAACATAGTTTCAATGCCTTACTTGTAATAGGCTACACGATTCCTAAGGGATGGAAGGTGTTTGCATCATTTCGTGCAGTACATCTAAATCCTGAACATTTCAAAGACGCACGCACCTTCAATCCATGGAGATGGCAGGTACCTCAGTACACTTTATTACTAATCTAACGTTAAGTTATGCTTAGATTTCTATTTTTTCATTTGCTTGCTTGTGACCAAAATTGATCAGAGTAACTCAGAAGCATCAAGCCCTGGGAATGTATATACACCATTTGGTGGAGGGCCACGCCTATGCCCTGGCTATGAGCTTGCCAGAGTTGTACTTTCTGTTTTCCTTCACCGCATGGTCACTTCCTTCAGGTACAAACAGTTAAGGTGCAAGTGTTAGTGTTTAATCACTCAAAACAAGTAAAACTAGTTTCTTCTATCACTAATGTTATGCTTTCAATTAAGGAAAATATTTTTCTTATTTCTTTGGAGATAGCTATACACTCATCGAATTTTGTGCCAGTTTTTTTCATTTCTTTTTTCTTTTATTTTAAAGTGTGGATCCCATATATTTTTCTCACACACGTAAGAGAACTATCTCAAGCAGATTAATAACTCCCTTCAATTAAATGGCAGTTGGGTTCCTGCAGAGGAAGATAAGTTGGTGTTTTTCCCAACCACAAGGACGCAGAAGAGGTATCCTATTATAGTGAAGCGTAGGGAAGAGTCAGAACATGTATAGAGCGATATGAGAATTGAGCAAAACAGATAGAGAAGGCCAAAAAAGAAGCTGGGAGTGTAGATCAGTTTATAACCAGTTAATGTTCATTATATATAATTACTAATAAAATTATGTCTACTCCTTCGGCAGTTTGTATATATATATATGATCTTAATTAATTTTGTCTAAGCAATGCTGCGCAGAAAATTCGGCCAGAATTTTGACCTCAGTTAATTTAATTTAAGGGTGGTTATTAAAGCCTTCTTGTCCTTCGTTGCTGACTTGCTACCATAACACAAAACAAACAGATGTAAAGAAAATTTTACGGATAGGCCTGCTTTGATTTTTGCACTGTAACATTGATGTAACAGTGTTGGACCTGTACGTACCTGAAGACCAACCAAGAGTATATAAGAACAAGATGTTTCCACTTTAGCTTTCCTTTCGAAATCGAAACAAAACAACCAGGCAAACTTATGGGTATTTTAATAATTTATTATGCATGGACTCTAAATATATTATGACATAATTAATAATTTTTTTATTAACGGTTATGATTGTTTACTTTTTCTTAATGAATCCCACTTCAGAGAACCACATAATGAAACCTTCTATGGCTGCTCAGATTGAAAACGACTCTGCATTCATCAGCCAAAAAGGAGAAAAATATTCTGCTTTATGCTCCCTAACTGATATAGATACCATCACTTATAGCTTAGAATTGCCCGTCCGTTTTATTCTCTCAGAATGCTTCAGTTGGGGCAGGCATAATGATTTTAATCACAAAGATGGCAACTCTTACTGTGATTATGCAATATACTTCGATGACTCTCTTCTAACATTATTTCACACTATGCCAGTATAGGCAGTAATATTATTATAGCGTTGGAAGAGATTATTCACCTCTGTATGGACCAGCACATACCCTAAAAAATCCAAGTACTTTTTGCTATAGGCAGTAATAGCCTCCGAGAAGGAAATTGAAAAGCTTTTCCCGCATGTTCTACTTCAATACAGAGTAAATACCAAGGTACCCCGGCATTTCTTCTCTGATTCTGACAATGAAAAGGAGTTAGATACAACATACAAATTTTGCTACTTCAAAATGTTAACAGTAATTCCAAAATCTCTTCCTATGAAACACACCCGTCCTTCCACAGAAAGTAAATACGATAGGACAATTTTAAAGTATAGGCAGGCTTGATTCTCTGCTGCTTCTTTCTTTGTTTCTCAATGTAGACTCGACAACCTTAACTTTCTTTGAATTTTCAGTATTTACAAGCGAAAGTTTTTCAAGTGATGATTTGAGCATGGATAACTGATCATCTCCAGCACAAATTTTCTTGCCTGATATTTTCTGTTGTTGGTGACTAGATTTAGAAGCTTGCGCGTGCCTTCTCAGCCTTGCACTTAGTGCGTCAACAGAAGAATGCAAAGCATCCAACTCAACTTCCTTGAAGTGGTCTGGAAAAGATAAGGGCATGATTTAAGTACTTCTAAAAAGTTTTCAGTAGAGAGAATAACAATAGATAATGCAGAGGGGTATAGACGATAGGTAAAGGAGAAACTGAACATAACATATTTAAGTCCAGGAGGATATAATGTAAGAAGCATATGACTATTGCAATCGATTATATGTGAAAAAAAAAAAGGTATTCAAAATGCCATTAACGGTTAAATACTAAAAAATAAGGGATCAAACATCTATTACCAAGCTCAGACTTAAACTGTCGCTCTGCTGTGGACAGCGGTTTTTTGTGAGCGCAAGGCAAGTTCCTTAATTGTTGCAAGCGCTCTTCCAAGGAATCATGCATTTGAATTGCACAATCTATCCTTTTCTGTAATATAGACTGTTTCTCCTCAACTTTCAAAAGTTTCTGCTGTGCATCACCTATACGAGAATATTGGCCATTAATTATTCTCTTCAACTGAGGTGCATGATGCTTGAGCTCCATGTGAACCTAGTAGTACAGAAAGAGCCGACTGTTATTCACAAAAAGCATACCTGTATTCAAATATGCTTGTATAATCCCATCTACTTTTAATGAACTAACTTAATTCACATAATTTTTTAATAATAGACAAGCTCTAATATATTCTAAAGAGATCTCATGCAAAGATATAGCACAAGTGATCATCAGTAACTCTTTCCTTCATCTGAAAGAATTTATTGTCAATTATGTTAACCTAATATATTCTCTCTTTTCTTTTTCTTTTTTTTTCCTCAATCTATTATTATTATTTTTGGGGGGTTCATCGGCCTTTGATCCCAACTTGTTTGGGATAAAGGTATTGCTGATAGCTTTCAGTAGAGATATCAATGACTATTGGCCTAAGATTACTATTTCATTTTAGGTCAAATGTTATTTGAGAATACAATTGAAATAGCAAATAACAGCATATTCATGCCATAAAAAAACCACTCCCCATTAAACCCCGACTAATGAAGGTGGATGAGGGTAATCCTTGTACGTAACCTTACTCTTGCGTAATTGCAAAGATGTTGTTTCCCGGATTCGATCTCTGTGACCTTTCAATCACAAAAAAACAATTTTTACCACTACTCCAGTCTTAGAAAATATGATAAATATGCAAGGTCCAAATAAGGAAACAGAACTCAACCAACATTAAAAGGCTGGGACATGATGGTAGTCCTACCTTATGGGCATACTCCACATAAGTTTCATGAAACAGCCTGAAATACTGATGTAATGTTGATCGGCCTTCAATTGAATCAGCAGCAACAGAACGCAAACTTGGAGAGGCACGAGGAACAAGTACCTCTTTGGGCCCACTAAGTAGTTCTTTGCTAATTATTGTCGGTATATCTCTCTCTTTTGATTCCCCCTCTGATTGAATGAGTTTCTTCTCCATCTCAATACTTACTGGAAGCAAGAGGTTCCAGGTTTCCATCTCAAGCACAACACACTCTTGAGAAAGAGTAACGGCTACAATCCACGAATATCCAAATGAATCTGACAATGACACAAAACCACAAAGTGAAGGCTCTGAGGTGCATCCACTCTGGCAAGTATTTAGAACAGGATGCACAGAAGGTGTTCTCATTGTATCATCCTTTCCATTTGTCTGACTAGTAAATGGAAGAAAATGCAACACTATTGAGTCAATCCCTCCATCATGAAGGGAATATATTCTTTCTGGCATAAGGGTATCAATGAACAATGAAATATTATAACTACTTTCTGCTCTTTTTGGAAGAGCCAAATCAACAACAGCCAGTCTCAGCAGAGGGGGTGGATTACCCGACCAGGCATTATGATCAAGCTTCTCCGGACAGCTGCTGGCAATCGACTCACAAATCATAGCAAGGCCAAGAATTTGGTCATGGGAATCAACACGAAGACGAGGTGGACTACCGATACTCCAGACAGGTTGGATCTCATCAGCTAAAGCATCTATCTGTAATTGCCCACCACTCCAGGCAGTCACCAAAATAGAATCTTTGCTGACTAAATTGTAGAGAAAACTAATTGCACGACCTTCACATTCTGCACTACGACTAACTGAATCTTCATTTCTGCCCTGACCTACTCTTCGCAGAGGTCCCTACAAAATTAAAGCAGAAAGAAGTATATGCATATGGAACATACTGTTAAAGGCAATTTTCCGTCTATTGATAATACAACTGACAAAAGTCTAACTTAGAATATATGTATACCTGCAAGACAAGAGATGCATCAAATAAAGCATAAGCTTGAGCTCTTAGCATGGACAGGTTGTCTCCTTCAGTTTCTTGGTTTTGTAACTCGGGAAATGTAGCTTCAAACCAGGAGATTGCCAACTTTGAATTACTAGCTGCTACCGAGTTGGCTGATGTTAGCCCAAATGTATGAGCATCATTATATATTTCTAATAAAGACTCACATTTGAAGAGACTGCAGATAAGCAGACAAAAAAGCATCACAAATGTAGAAGTATCGAGAGTAGCATATGAGCAATTTAAAGAAAATAATTGCATCTAACATGAACCCAATGAGCATTAAAATGGGCAAGACATAGATGTAGTAAAGCAATTTTTTGTCAAATAATCCAGGAAATATTGATGATATCTTAGCAGCAAAAGAAGAAGACGAATAGGTGAAATATGAGCAGTAAAATACCTTCCAAATGGAACCACTGGGCAAATTACATAGATATCCCCATTACTGAACAAAATTAAAACCTGTTCAATAGCACAAAATATAAAATGTTTAGAACTGAAAAGTAAAGTCACAAGAGATTGAAATATAGTTCAAAAATACTTAATAATAACAAGTCGAGATTAAATAGGGAGTAGTTTTTAATACATACTGATAACAAAGTCAGCAACCCCAAAGCATCAATGAATCCTTTCATAACAAAGGTTTTAAACATTTAGATCATTAACCATAAAAAAATTAAGAAAATATTGTCATAAATCAAAGGAAAACACCTACACTTGTTCACCAAAGTCCAAAACCGAACAACATTACATAAATTAAGGACAATCAACCATATGTAAGTGTAATATAAGGCAATTACCAGTAATGAACAATCTTGTTACCGACCAACTCTCCCCAAAGTTAAAGTTCTTCCGTGAAAGTTTATGAATGGTTATATATATATTGCATAGGCCTACCGTATCCATTGTGCTGAAATTCAACTTTTATTCAACAATTGGGGAGGCAAGGATCCACATGGTCATAGAGGCTACATACCATGTTGATGCCTCAATAATAAACTCTTCCAAAAACTAAAGTTGTTCGGTGAAAGCTCTAGAATGGTTTTACATCTGACGAATCTCAAAGTATCAATATCAATATCAACAACACCTTTATTCCAAACAGCAAATGTCATAGTATGTTCTATAATGAATAACTCTCAAAACATGGTAACCAAATGATCAACGTAACAAAGCAAAAATCTCTTGGACAAAAACAAGGAAATGAAAATGTATAGCAAATGATAGGACTAAGACAAACCAAAAAGATTAACATCATGGATTTTGAAGGGGAAAAATGGACCAAGAGTATCCAAAAATTAAGTTAATAAGAATATCAGCAGAACTTACACTAAATCGGTCCCATAAGTGATCTCCCCCAAAAGAAAAATCAACTGGGCACACTGATGAGGCATTTCTGGATCTACCTGGCTCCACAGGCTGTAAATAATATTCTTGCTCTGGTTGCAAAGGATCCACAGCAAGATTAAAAAGCCTACAAAGATGAGTTTGCAATTAGAGGGAAACGTGACAACATAAGACTCAGTTGAATAACTTCTTATCCAAGCAAGAAAGAATAGATATAGACAAAACAGAAGGCATCTGTATGAAATGTTGGGGTTTAAACTTAAAACATAATTTTTTTATGGTTAAGGAACACATAATGCATGTGAAAAAAATTCAGTCAAAAGCCAAGAAAAAAAAAATTAAAACGTTATGGTCAAATTTAATTAGTAGAAATAAGGATAAGAGAATCTTTATCTGTCAAACATGTCAGCTAATGGTTTGGATGGAATTTTCATTTTCGTCATGGAGACAAATAATAGTAGCATGTATCAGCTAGGCTCGTTATCCCCTTATTAAGGTTGATGACATTAACAGACTCCAAATAATAATGTAGCGCATTTGTTATTGAATATTTTGTTAGATATTACAGTATCAAACTGATCTTTCCTTCCTTATGAAGTTTGGTCTCCGAAGTTCTGAATTTCAGCAAATCTTAACTACTTAATGCTTCTTAGGCTACTCCAATGTATTTCCTAGTGTAACATAAAAGAAAGATGACCCACTGAACAATCAACATTACGCTTTAGAGGTCACTCTAGCCACATAGTAAAAAGCGTAAATACCCTTTTTGGTCCTCAGCAAATTTCATGATGCTCGCTTTAGTCCCTAGCAAATAAAAAGACTATTCGTAGTCTCTAAGAAATTCAAAATGAATCCATTTAGTTGAAATCGTGGTCCCTCACAAATTCAAAAAAGATTCATATTAGTCCCTCAAAAGGACTAAGATGGGTCCACTATGAATTTCTTAGAGACCACGAATAGCCTTTTTATTAGCTAGGACTAAAGCGCGCGCATCCTAAAATTTGCTAAAGAACGAAAAGAGTATTTATTCTAGTAAAAAAGCTTACCGGAAAACTGAGTCAGAAGAAAGGATTCCCAAATGAGTATCACTGTAAGGGTGCCATAACGCTTTTAATACACGAATATCATTGCTTCCGGTGGAATATGCTTGAGAACCAACTGTTATAGTCCTGAAATAAGATAATCAAAATAAAATAAAATAAGGTAACATACAACAACTGTGGACTAGGACAAGTATTGAAGAAACATCAAAACATGCTTAACTAGAGTTAATTCATAATAAGGAGCAATAGAGAGAAAACATATTCAGTGATTTCCAGTTGTACCTGCAAATCAAGTTTACGTCCTTTTTGGATGTGCGTCCATAGAGGTACATAACAGAGAGTCTTTCAGAACCAGAAAGTAGCATAGCTGTTCCATTCCTGTTGATGGAGATTTTCTGAACATCAAAGGTGGGCGAAACATCCGCTTGCAAAACCTATCGAAATTCATCGCCGATTTTAACAAATTCGATTCACATTTCTACGAAAACCTAAACGAAAGAAAGAAGAAATGGACCTTAGAGGGGGAAGCGGCGAAGACGGAAATGGGATCTGGATCGCCGAGTCGAAGAGAGAGGCGATGGAGGAAGTTGTTGTTGGAATCCCAGAAATAGAGTCGAGAGGCTCCGTCCCAGGCCAGCAGGTTTCCGGCGCCGGTTGCGGCGGAACCGCCGCCTGCGGTGGCGGTGAAGAGAGGGTGTTTGGGAAGTGGGACCCATTCGACTTCGTCTTTCGGAGTTTGAGATCGGCTTGGCTCCGAGTTCGGCTCCAAGTCCAACGTGATCCTCATCGTTCTCCTTCTCCACCTTCACAGTTGAACCCTTGCTGCTTTTTCTTTCTGGCGGGTTCCTAGATGATTTAAAACGACGTCGTAATCTGTTTTAGTTTGATTTTGAATAATTTGAAAAAAAAATTTCTCTCTCTCTTCGTGGGTTGAGGGGTCCAATAGAGGAAAATATTTAATATGTTCCAGTACCACCTAATGATTTGGTGTTCCCTCTCACAATATTAATTTTTCTTTTCCTTTTTACCTCTTGCTATTTTTCTTCTTTTCCAATTCTACCATTCTATTTACACTAAGGAACCACCTAAAAAATAGTGGTCCCGGACCACAATAAATTCTCTCCCAAAAGAGAGCCTTGGCCATTGTTCGTGATGAAACCCTAATTCTATTATTAGCATCCTAAAATATTCCAATATATGAAAGAGAGACTTTCTTTTCATGGGAATTTTTATTTTTCTTAGAAAAAAAAATTAAAATATTACTATTTTAATAAATAATTACGAATACATAGCTGTTTCGAAACTATTTACGAATTTATTTCACTCATTCACGTCTAAATTAGGCGTAACTATTCACGTCCAAATTAGGCATAACTATTCACGCCCAAATTAGGCGTGACTATTAACGCCCAAATTAGGCTTGACTATCAAGGCATTCAAGCCTAATTTAGGCGTGAATCATCTCGTGTTGACACATGACAAAAAAAGTTAACTTACGAACCGTAAAACTTTGGAAAGCCATAACTTTTGACTCGGATATTCGAATGAGGTAATTTTTTTTTTGATTCCACATAACTTTTCGAGATCTACGCAATGACATCTCATTTGATATATTTTATCTCTCACAAACACGATTTAAATTTACAATAATTGTATTATATAGTGTATTACAAAAAAAAATTAAAAAATTATTATTAATAAAAAAACAAAATAAATATTTAATTTGTGATTTAAACTCAAAAATCAATTTGAAAAATCTGTATTAATAAAGAAATAATTAAATAAATATTCTAAACACTTGGTAGAATATTATATAAATTTGTATATATTTTAATAATTAATTACGAATAAGTTGTCGTTTTGAACCTAATTACGAATATATTGCACTCATTCACGCCTAATTTGGGCGTAAATGAATGCAATAAATTCGTAGATAGTTTCGAAACTGCTATGTATTCGTAATTATTTATTAAAATAGTAATATTTTAATGTTTTTGACATTTTTCTTATCAATTCTCTTTTATACTGCAAAGTTTAGGATGAAAAACATCTAGAATCAAATGCAATTATGATAAATGGAAGGATAACCAGGTGAGATAACCCTCATTTACTTACTCTTCTCCTCTTGAAAAGCCAATTTGATATACCCTTAATTAAATATTAAGGTTTACGAGATTTCATATAATTTTTCACATAAAAATAGTTTCTGGTTTTTTTCTCATAAAATCTATCTTTTATTTTATTTTATTTTTACCACCATTTTTATAAGGACACGTAAGACTGAATTTGGTATGCTCTTCAAATTAGAGATGAGAAATTTAACAATAATTTAATATTGAGTTTTTAACCGAAGCTTTATAAATAGACTTCTCTCTCTTGTCAGGCAATATTCAGAATCTCATATTATTCATTTAGTAAAATATATAAAGGAATTTAACGTTTTTATAGTGAATATAGATAAGTTATTTATATTTATTTTCAAAACAATGTTATTTTTGATTGAAAAATTAAAAAATTATAATGAAAAAAACTATTATAACTCTGAAATAAATTATAATTACAAAAATATCTTAATTTTTCTCCAAAACGACATCGTTTTGATCTCAATGTAGATAATTATCTATATTGATTGTGCAAAAACCAAACCCATATATAAATTAACAATTTAGCCAAAACTTGACATTTTTTATTTTTCCAATAAAAAAAAAACTAAGTCAGTTAACATTTGATTTTTTTCTTCTTTTGTTTAAATATTCATTTTACATCACGCGATTATTTTTTCAACTATCAAGAATTTATTTCAAAAGTTTAAATTTGAGAATATGAGAATAAATAGGAAGCTTTATACAAGATATATATAAATCCCTTGACGACAAAAACATTGAGTTAATGCAACAATTAATTAATCGAATTCAATCATTCATACTTTAAGTATGCATTTAACCAGTACAAACAATCCATTCACACTTATATATATACAAAAAGAAGATATACACGAAACAAGGGGGGAAATGAAACTAAAAAAATGTGAAACATTAAAATATATATGTATATAAAAAATGTTACATAATGGCCAAAGATGAAGCTCTATTGTTTACATATATGCCTAAACACCATTCAACAACTTTATGTATCATGGTAGCGGTAAAGTGCAAACTAGACTGTATTCAGTGTTAGGTGTCAAGGTTACTGGGTATCCTTAGGATAAACCTGTAACAAGAGAAAAAGAGTAGCAATTAGGTTTTGTTTTCATAAATCACAATTTCAATTTACAACAAAAACAGTTCATCTTTAAAAGATAATTACCGTAGCATCCCTTGACGCACATAAGAACTTAATATGAATAGCTGAAGTTGTTAGCTGAAAATCTATAGGTTATTAGTTGATATCTCCAATAATTTGTTAGTGCCATAGTGGGTTCATTTGACTCTTTCTTCTTGAAGAATCTTCGGATACCTGGGATACCCATTTTTGCAAGCCGAAATCTGCACAGATATCAAAAGTAAAACATGGTTAATGACTTCATCACTTTTGTGTTTGTTTAGATAAACATGTAAATATGACATGTGAAGCACGCGTATGAATAATTTGTTTATATCTTCTGACTATGTGAGAGAAACCTATCATTAATTATTGTTAGTGGGCAGCCTCCAACTTGCTGAATGCCAATTGGGATGGCAATATTGAAGGCCATGATCTTAAGGCTAGAAAATCAAGATTTAACATCAATAGAAGTTAAAGCATCTATGCACATGATCAAATAATATACCAATATATTTGTAAGTTATAAAATAATACTCTTCCTAAGTAGTTATTTTGGTTTAAAAACAAATTTATTTTAAAAGACTTTTTCCCAAATTATATACAGTCAACTTTGGTAATCAATTAAGGGTGGCTAGTTCCATGTTATGTAGATTCTTTGAACACAAGGCCGAATGAGACTTGAATAACAAACCGAAAAAAAAAAATGAAAAGAAAAAAAAAAACAGGGTTCACATGTGAGAGTGAGACCAAGTCATATTTCTATCACAAATTCACAATCAGCATGTTTCTAGACCAAAATAATTTTATCAAAATTATAAACTATGATTAAATATTGCAGGTTTCAACCGTTTTGGAAAAGTAAATTTAATGGGAAAGGTCACTTTTAGACTATTTGATGAGTATCCTCTCCCCAATTTCCAACCAGCTCAATTTGGCTGTCTCGAAAAGTCAGCAAACTGATATGTTGCCAAAGCTGAAAATAAATGGCCAATTTGAATTCTGCGTTCAAGCATTCAAGAGGAGAATTAGTGGTCCTCCACAAGCAAACATTGTCATCTAAGTATTTGGTATTGACCTTCCAGAAGAGAGAATGAGATTTCAACCCTTCTATACTGACGCCAATAAATAAGCACCCCTAATGTAGTTTCCTTATTCTTCAATTGAGTACTTACGTGGGACCTCATTACCTCACTAAAATTCCCATTATTTCCCATCATGATCACCAAAACAATAAAAAAAAAGTTGGAAATTATCTTTATTTTTTTTCATTAAAAGAGACTAATTTACAAAATTATACAATTTTGCAAATTTATCATCTAATCTGCCACCTAAACACTCAATTATTTTGAAGTTTCTGGAATATGGAAGAGACACTTACAGATTCAATGTCAATTTTGTAGACCAAAAGCTTTCGTCTTTCTCTGCAACTTGTTCTGTAGGCCACAACAATATGCCCCACAGCCAACGCACAAGAACACACGAACAAAGCTATTTCGGAGGCTCCAACATACTCACTTCGATGGCTAAAGATGTAAACAGCTTTGAACGAAACAAATATCAGAGACAAACCAGAGCACATAGTCGTGATCCCCAAATAGGGTCCTCGTGAAAGTCTTGGTCCATCACACAAACTATAAACACCTACATAGAAAAACCCAATATTCAAAATTCAAAAGGGTCCTTGAAAATAATTCAAAAATTGCAACTTTCTCTTTTTATGTATGTACAAATACTTACAGAATATAATGAAGGATCTTATAATGGAGACGAGGGGTATATCAATGAGAGAGTATCGAAAATCGTAATTGTGGAAATGGGAAGAGAGAGTTTCCAAGGAAAGAGAAGCAGGTGAAAGTGTAGAGAGCAAAGCAGAAGGAACAAGTGCATCAGCAATAATCAAGAGAACCGGTGCTGATAAAACAAGAAGCGAAATAACCATGGTGATCAAGAAGAACACAGTCTTCACACCCCTTAATATCCTTTTGGATTTCTCTTCCTTTGATGAAAAACCCATCTTTGGTTGGTTCCTATGATTTGGTTCCAAATCTGTCTCAACTTTTGTGGGCTTATAGCAACCAACACCTATGTGTGTTTGATTATGTGTTAGTTGTTGTTGTTGTTGTTGTAGGTTCACTATGTTGTGTTCACAAGGCCAACGAGGGAAATCGAAGCCTTAAAGAGGTTGAAGAATTAGAGAGAGAAGAAGAGGGTGCAAGGAAGGTGCAGGCCAAGGTGCAGCAATTTTGACTTGACTTGTCCACTCCCTAAGTGATGACAAATGTATAAGACTTTACACGCAGCCCCCTTATCGTTCATATAGAGGAGCCCCAAGACATTGTTACTTTCTCTCTCTACCCCAACGGCAATACCTAAAAGCTTAAACTACAATTAACTATATCATCTCCAATGTTATTTTATTGAGTGAGAATTATTCCCTGTGAAACCCCACCATCAAATTGACTTATAGATCTTTTACGCGTACTCCACGTGTTGTTCCCAATAATATCGGATGCACACAGATTTTACACATCATCTCATATATATAGGAATTAATATTTTTTATATTATAAGAAATAACTTATTTTTTTACTTACATATAAAAATGTGTAGACTCCGCGTAGGGTTATATGAATTAGCAAACTCTGGGTACCACTGTTATTGGTACTTCTTTTCTTAAATTAGAAAATAATTAGTATACAAAAGGAAATAAATAAAAAGTAAGGGATTAAAATGAAAAACAAACTTCCTGTTTTAGTAATAAAGATGCACCTAACTCAATACAACAGTAGCATTTGAAAAATTTCCCATATGAAAAAAGAGAAAAAAAAAATAGACCCCACACACTGTGTATATATAAAAGATAATATTATCTCTTACAACATAAAAATTATTAATGGGCAAGGGCGGTGGGGGTGGCGGGACAACACTTATGTTGTAGGAGAGTTATTTTCTCCTACCAGTGACCTTCGATTTTCTTAATAGATGTAGGCCTCATACAAGATATGTTTATATTATGTAGGGATTAATGTTTCTTATGTTATATGAGATAAATTTACATTCTATACATACATACATTAAAAATGTGTGGGCCAATGTCGGAACATGTGAAGAGAAGAGAGAAAAAGAAAACATGGGCCCAACATATTTTTATGTGCGTGTAGGATGTAGAAAATAAAATTATCTCTTATAATATGAGAAAAATTAAACTCATATATATATATATATATATATATAGAGTTTATTGTTTCTTCTACCACATGAAATAAGGTCATCTTCAATAATTTCAAAATTGCATCGGAGAAATTAATGAAGAGTATTTTGGTAAAATTTATATAACAATGAAATAAATAAAATCTTTAAAATATCTTTAATTAATTGTCTCAATTTTAAGACGATGTAGTTTTAGTGTTGCTAGAGATAACTTTATTTGTTATTGTATGAAAAATATTATATATATATAGATAAATATATATATATATATATATATATATTAAAATGAAAAATATTATATTTATATATATATTAAAATTAAATTGACACTACTTATGATGGAATATTATATAAATAAGAAGACATCATGTTATTCATTTCATGGTCATGGAGTGGGCGATTACAATATTTATGCAAATTAAGCGGGTATAGTGGAACCGAAAGATTGTAAGCATGTGATCACATGCTGTATTTTTGCCTTTTCGAGTCATACACTATTTTTTTTAATATGTACACAATGAATTTTGTTTTGTTCTGTATAGATGAGTATAAAAAGCAGAGAAGTAAACCATTTCTAACTATAAGAGGATGATGATGTGATACTGTTACTTGATTCCTGCTATATAATTGAATTTACAAACATTTGTATTGAGCTCTCAATCAATCAATTTAACATGTGTTCATGTCCTTAGTGGTAGGCGTGGGATTCTCTTCTTCAATAAATTTATAGTTTTTTTTTTTTTACAGTTATAAATTATAATTTGCAACAGATGAAGTGAACAGTGACACCATGAATAAAAACATTTTTTTAAAAAAAGAAAAAAAAATCTGGTAACACGTAAAATAAGAGCCATGTTTTTTGACTTTTTTTTTTTGAGTTACCCAACCCTAATTACTCTTTGAGGCGAGTTGGCTCCCTCCGGTATTCTCACGAGTTTCGACTCTTTGAGCCGGCTATGGGACTAATCCGGAGTGCGGGGAGCAGTGATGGCTAAAGGTCCAACCTCCTCCCCAAGAATGCATTCAGTAGGAATCGAACACATGTCCAACCTTACTAACTCAGCGCCAAATTATCAACTGAGCTGCACCCATTGACTCATATTTTTTTGACTCTTGGACCAAAGGAAAGAGTTAGATAACTTAGGTTGATTTGAAACAGTGAAGGGATTTTCAATCGTATCGTAGATCCTAAAAACACAATTTCAATTTATCGTGGAGCCAATTGCCATTAATTTTAATTGTGCTTAACGTATAAGAAAAAATGTTGAACAGAGTACATTGACAATCAATTGCATTTATTAGAAGATTTGAATTAAAGAGTTTAATTGACGGTGACGATAATAAGGTTTATTGGTCGAAAAAGAATGGAAAAAGAAGAATTATAATGTATACTTATTTTATATCTTGAAGTAAATACTGATAACTATTCAAAGAAGTAAATATTAAATTTATTTAAGTTCAATATAATAAAAATTTAATTTTGATTTAATTTTTTCTTATATTTTTATAGTAAGTGTTCCTCGTTAGTGAAATTTAAAAAGTTATACAAGTAAACAAAATGTATGCATAAAAGCTTGACTGCATTCCTTAATCGGTCAGTATATTTTTAACAGGTAATTTTTTTGTAAATTTTAATAAAAAGTTTATAATTATAAAAAATACAGTAGTGGCAAGGGTGAAGTATAATGACAAGTAGAAATCGTGATGTATACTAGTTTACTAACTAGCATTGCATGTCTTTAAACTTGTGCTTTTTATTAGGTGAGATAATGGTAATAACAGTGTTCAAAATTAATAATAATTATATAGTGAAAATTGAGAAGTATTTGAAAGCAATTGTAATGGAAGAATAAAAGTATTTGTAATCATTGATAAATGAATAATAAGATCTATATATAATTTAATTTTTATATTTCTATAATGTTTGAATGGGTAATTAATTTTAATTCAAAAAATATAGGAATAAATTGTGAATATAATTTATATATAAATATTATAAGATGGATATTTACATTCACTTACTACTATTTTTTTTTTCGAGTTAGAAGAGAAACAAAATCCAGTATCTTACTTTTCACCTCAAGACATTTCAGTCATAATTTCATTCTCTCTGTCTTTCACGTTTATTTTAGTTGGATTTTAAAAAAAAAATTACAATTAACATAGTTATTTAAGAGCCGCGTTATCATCCGAGATTCTGAGTTATATACAACTAGTCCATGATCCGTGTCCTCGCATGTGAAGGTTGTAAATAAAAAAATATAAAATAGAATTAAATAAACAATAAAATTACATATACATTATATATTATAGTGAAATAGCAAACTCTATAAATTAATGTAAAATAGTTTAACAAATAAGATAAATTAACTTATTTCAACCTTTGAAAAATTTCTTTGAACATAATATTTGTTGTAGCGTTGAAAATTGTGTCATGATCGTCAAGTATAACAAGTTTTAATCTCTTCTTACTTTTGATCCTAGAGAGAGCAACATACAATTTGCCATGAGTAGAAATTGGTATTGGAAGATAAATTCCTACATGAGATAAAGTCTGACCTTAACTCTTGTTTATTGTCATGGCAAAGCAAACAACCAATGGAAATTGCCTGCATTCAAACTTTACAGGAAGATGTAATTAGGACTCAAATTCATCTTTAGAATTAACACGATCTCACCTATGTTATTGTTTGAAAGGATTTGTCCTTCAACAACATGTTTACCAAGTTTTGTATAAGCAATTTTGTCTCATTGCACAATATTCCTTAGAACCAAGTTTGGCCAATATACAGATTGAGATTGATGTAAAATAGACACGTGTCATTATTGTCCTCTAGTAGCTTTTATCTTCTAGTTATATAGATTCGATAGGATTAAAAATAATAATAATAAATTGTAGCAGCGCCGCTATAAATCTGAACAAAGTTCACCTTAATAGTTAGAAATTTTAATATATTTTTTCTTGATCCTTTGGCTAAAATCAAAGGTGTATTAAAAATCGTATAATTTCGTTAATGCAAGTTGTATTGGAGCGAGACGAATATAAAATTAATCATAAATATACTAGTTGTAACAGCCTAGCATGTCTGGTATGTTCGTTTGTTGAATGATTGGTAGTGGTTGGTCTGATTGTATACACCAGATAAAGTTTAATATACATAACCTTTTAACAAAAAGCAATTTTCTCTTATTAAGAAATTAATCAAAACATGTTTCCAGCATTTGTTTGCTGGCCAAATAGCAAATGATAAACTTTGTTGTATTAGATGAAATGTATACGCAACATGAATAAAGAAACAAGAAAGCACAACCTAGAATCCATTTAATTGCCTATTTTTTTTAAAAAAAATTAATTTAAAATACATTTCAAAAAATTATGATATTTAGATAAATTTTTTGGAAAAAATTATTATTGGTACATTTAATATTTTTTCATAAATAAAAATAATAATTTCTTAAAAAAATTGTACAAAAAAATTAATTATAAAGTTATTTTTTAAGCTTTTGCAAGCTCATCCTTAATTAGAAAGTGAACATAACACCCAATGGGTGGGAAATACTTTTAATGCTATGTGTGTACTGAATTTGGTACACTCATTCACTAAATGAGAAAAGTTTGAAAGAACATGAAGGGGAATATAAAACAAATCAAGGGTTAGAGTGGGAAAAAATTATCTGTCCTAAGATTGGAAATTTGATCCTTGGAGAAATACGGATGGAGAGAAGCTGATCACTTGGATCGAAATTGTGAAAATAAAATAAATAAATAAATAAAATATATATATATATATATATAGGAACAAAATCAACTTACACAAATGTAAGAATAATAAATTTTTTACCAAATGTTAATTGTGGATTTTCATAAATGTAATGATTATACTTTGTTAGATTACACTAATTAATTAATTATTAATTATTAATAAATTACAATCGTTAGATATATAAAAATTAACCATTAAAATTTGATGTAAGATTAATTATTCCTACCTCATATGTTTTTTTGTGTGTGGATACAATAAGGAAAAGAAAGCAAACTGAAAACTAAGATAGACCAGCAACTCCTATATAATTCAACATAACAATATATAATAATGGTAGGAAGAGAGGGATATACTATATTTTATTTTTTGGTTTCG